ATATATATATATATATATATAGTATTTTTGTTGTATATGTATATATATATATATATATATATATACTTATTGAAGTATAGACAGTTTACAATGTGTCAGTTTCTGGTGTTCAGCACAATGCTTCAGTCATACATGAACATGCATATACTTTTCATATTCTTTTTCACCATAAGTTACTACGAGATATAATACAGTTCCCTGTGCTGTACAGTGTACTTATTGTCCATCTATTTTATATATATTAGTATGTGTAAATCTCAAGCTTCCAATTTATCCCTTCCCACCCTCTTCCCCACCTCTGGTAACCGTAAGTTTTTTTCTATGGCTGGGAGTCTGTTTCTGTTTTGTAAATAATTTTCTTTTTTCTTTTTGGTTCCACGTATGTGTGATATCATATGGTATTTTTGTTTCTTTCTCGCTTACTTCACTTAGAATGACATTCTCCAGGTCCATCCATGTTGCTGCAGATGGCATCGTTTTATTTTTTTCTTTATGGCTGAGTAATAGTCCATTATACAAGTACACTACAACGTCTTTATCTGGTCATCTGTCAATGGACATTTAGGCTGTTTCCATGTCTTGGCTACTGTAAATAGTGCTGCTATGAACATTGGGGTGCGTGTGTCTTTCTGAATTAAGGTTCCCTCTGGATATTTGCCCAGGAGTGGGATTGCTGGATCATATGGTAAGTCTATTTTTAGTCCTTTGAGGAATCTCCATACTGTTTTCCATAACGGATGCACCAAATTACATTCCCACTCTTTTCTCCACAGCATTTATCATTTGTGGGCTTTTGAATGATGGCCATTCTGACAGAAAGGGAGGGAGGGAGGAAGGAAGGAATTTGATTTCTCCTTCCAGCTGAGATGTAGTGACAGAGATCAGATGTAACTTCCCTAGCTGAAACAACTAGTTTCCAGGCTACAACACAGGTTGAGGAACTAAGAACCCAGCTGACTCCCTGAGCTGGGGAGATAAAGGTGAGTGTGGGGAAACTAAGGTAGCTAGGGAGAGGGAACAGCTCAGTGGTAGGTGGCAGGCGAGGCAGGCGAGGCAGGCGAGGCAGGCGAGGCACTCTTCCCGTACTACAATGGCCTCCTTGTGCTCTTCTATGTCATTTTAAGGAGGCCTTCTCTGCTCCTTCCCACCGCCTCCATCATATTTTGGGCCCCCTTCCTGACCCTGCTCCCTTGGGGATACTGCAGTTTCCTTCTGTCAAACTAGCTCTCCAGGCGCCACCAGAGATACCAAATCACAGCAAAGACGTGACGTGCCACCCCCACTGCTGGAAACCCTTCTCTGACTCAGCTCGAGTTTTCCTGTCTCCAGCCACTCCTTCCACGCACTGAAGTCCTCACCCTTCCCTGAATACATCAGGTCTCTTCAGGGACCCCTGCCTTTAGCCAGGTTCCTCCCTGTGCCTGAGAATCCCTGCCTTCATTCTTATTGTTCATTCTTATTACCTAGTTTTTGTAATGGGGTCTCATTTATCAGATGGGCACTCATTTATCAGATCTCTTAATAGGTTAAATTTATGCCCCTATTTACCTCTCATTTGAGTTAAAATGATTTCTCTTTCTACAGCCTATCAACTTTTATGGAACTTTTGTTCTATGTGGAAATTATTAGCTTTGAGTATGTTCTGGGTTTCTTGTCATATCTGGAGAGGTGTTGCCAGTTCTTTTTTTTTTTTAGGTCTTCCTTTTCTTCCAGTAACATGGGTTTTTAATGGATTTCTTTAAAGCGGTATTTTCAGGTCAGATACCTGTTTTAACAAATTATTTTTGGAAAAAGGTATCAATCACTCCCCAGCCAGCACCTTGCGGTCCCGTTTCATGCCTGACTTCCAGCGGCAGTTTCCTTTCCTTCCCAGATAAGTACATGCAGTTGAATCACGCCCTGTTTTCCCTCAATGGGCGGACGGGCTACGTCCTGCAGCCCGAGAGCATGAGGACAGAGAAGTATGACCCCATGCCGCCCGAGTCCCAGAGGAAGATCCTGATGACGCTGACAGTCAAGGTGAGGCCAGCTCCCCTTCCTCCCTCACTGGTGGGACAGCCAGCCTAGGGATCCCTGTCCCCTTGTTCGAACCAACACAGTGTTCAGGATCTTAAGGACAGTGCATCGCAGGGCCATTCCAGGGGAAGAGGGAAGAGAGGGGTGTCTTCCCATTTCTGTCTTGGTCACCTTCCCTTTTGTCCGCAGGGGTGAGGAATGAAGCCATCTCTTGCTGGCTTCAACAGGGTCTCTGTGAGGTCAGCCTGTGGCCAGAAAAGAGGGAAATAAACCCCATGGGAAATGGCCATTTGGTCTCTATGGAGGAGAGCGTTCATCCCCACAATGGCCAGTTTTAGGTGGTGAAAGCTTTTTAAAATCCATCCAACTTTCAAAGAATGTTGTCCCTTTGATTTTGTTTTTTCCTGTTTTGGAAACTAGGCAAGGTGGAGAAATGAGTTGCATTTATTTCTCTTAAGATTAAGGAGGAAAAACTGAAGCATATGTAACCAAATGTCTTAAAAAAAAAAGGCCAGCAACCAACAGAATTCCACGTTCTTCCCCCTTCCTTCCTGGGAGGAGCTGGGAAATTGAGTGAATGAACCCTGTCTCTGTAGTGCCCACCCAGGCCTGGGGGGATGCGTTTCTGTGCTCAGGTGAGGTCTTCCTGTAGAGTGTGATGGCCCGGGGGGTTTGACCCTGGCTTATCTTCAATAGCTGTTGGAAACCTCCCTGACTCCCCGCCCCCAATTCCTCATCCACGGAAGGGAAGCTGTGGGGGTGTCCACTGTGGTGGGGGAGGTGTCACTTCTCCAAGGAAGAAATGAGAACCCAAATGGAGCTCCATGCTGGACCATCCCTGCCGACCTCGTTAGCTCTGCCCCAGATGGAGCCAGGAGGATTCCAACACTTGTCTTTGGTGTCCTAGGTTCTCGGGGCTCGCCATCTCCCCAAAACTGGACGAAGTATTGCATGTCCCTTTGTGGAGGTGGAAATCTGCGGAGCTGAATATGACAACAACAAGTTCAAAACAACAGTTGTGAGTAAGTTGCCTTGTTTCACTTAAACTTCAGATGCCATGAATCACGTGTTGGGGACGTTAGTCGTTGGGGACTCTGTCACACACTTGTGTGTCTGGGCAGGTCAGGGAAGGGAAACAAAGTGATTAGAGAGTTGCACTGGGACCCACCACTGTGTCTCTCTGCCTGCAACCCATTGGGAGGCCTGGACAAGGCTCCCGCTCCCTGCACCATGACACTGGAGTGGCCCCTCTGTGCAGCTGCCCCCACCTACTTATCTGTGAGTCTAAGGCTATGCAATAGAGACACAGCGAGGATATGGCTGACCTGACTGAAAGCCTGCAGCCTAACCCAGGTGATCTTATCCCACAATGGGCAGGGAGGCCCAGAGAAATGCTTGTTCTGCCACTTGAAGCCAGGAAGAAACCATGAATTGTGGGCCTTTTAAGGCCTGGGGTCCCTGGCCCTGGTAAAAGGCAGCCCAATGAACACCTCACCTGCTGACCAGTGAAACTGGCCTTGGTGGTGGGAGAAAGTTTACCTTGCTCTCTGAGGCTGGTTTCCCCAACAGCTTCAGAATCTGTTACCTCTGTGGAGAGCCTCGCCCTCCTCCCTCATCAGTGGAGGGGTGTGGTTCCCATGACTTCTCTTTTCTCTTTCAAACCAACCGGTTCCTGCTCTGCAGTCCACCGCCCCTCCTTTCTACCTCCTCGCCAGCAGAGATGGGAGACCCATGAAGGGGAGGTGGTCTCCTCCCCTCTGCTTCCTGAGAGCCAGGCCTGTAACACGACTGGACAAAAATTATTTCTTAAATCTTGATATAGATGTGTATTTACACGGTTGCTAAGGAGATTCAAAGCCGATGGAAGTAGAGACAGTTTAACCAAGTGCAGGCAGGACAAGTGGGGCCTCTAAATGAACTTGGATCTCCTTCCAGATGACAACGGCCTAAGCCCTGTTTGGGCTGCAACCCAGGAGAAGGTGACGTTTGAAATCTATGACCCGAACCTCGCATTTCTGCGCTTTGTGGTTTACGAGGAAGACATGTTCAGTGATCCCAACTTCCTGGCTCATGCCACTTACCCCATTAAAGGAATCAAATCAGGTAAGACGTTGTAATGATCACATACAGTATGGGCTAGCATTGTTTCTGGTCTGTGCTGCTGGCTTTAGAAAGAATGAAAAAGCATCTTTCTTGGCTTTTTAGTCAGTCATGGGTGGCTTGGACAGCTCATCTCCTGGGAGTTTCTGTGAGCTGGCGCAGGGGCCTGGGAAGGTGGCGGGATGAGATGCTAGGCTGGTCACAGTCGGGCGTCTGCATCCAAAATTGCATTCATAGTTGATGGTCCACCTGGCCCTGTAGCTGGATTTTGTTTTGAAAGGTGAGAAGCTGTTTGTCTTTGTGCAGCAGGGCTAGGTGCTCTAGGGGGAAGGGGTGACCCGGAGCTGCAGTCTTCAGGGTGACTAGGGGACAGTGGACCGGACCAGTCACTCAGGTTGTCAGAACCTCACCCTCCTCCCCTGTGAAAGAGGGATGGCTGGTTGACTTCTGCCTTGATTCAAAACTGCTTCAAGCTCCAAGAAGGGTCCTGTATTCCTGAGACACTTTATCAGAGATCCTTCTGGATTAGTCATGAGTCACTCTTCCCCTACTTTCCAAGGATCATTTTTAGTGATTTATATAGTCTTTTCTCTTGATATTGTTTGGAAAAAGTTTCCCAGTATTTTTTGAAAATTTTTTCTAAAGGTAGAACTTGAGGGAATATCTGATATGTTCCACCTTTCTTTGTATCATAAAGTCTGATCATTTCTACCACTGGGTATTTGTCCAACAGATGTGTGGGGGGGCCTCCGGTTCCAAAATACAAGTTCCTGGGCCCACCCCAGGGTGTTCTCATTCAGCCAGTCTGGGGTGCGGCCCAGGAATCTGCATGTTTAGCCAGCTCCCCAGGTGGCACTTGAGGAAAACTGAGCAAGACCTAGGTTGCCTGTCTTATCTGTGAATAAACAAACAAATTCCTAAGTAAAATGAGTAGATTAAACAAGAACTTGAGAAATGTTTCAACGGTCTGATTATTTTCAGCACTTTGGAAATACCAATCTTCCTAGTTATTAATAATAATAATAGTAATTAATAATAATTGCAAAGACTCTAAGTCCCAGAGGCCTGACGTCTGCCAACCCTCTCGGTTAACTCGCCCCAACTGGGAGCTGTGTGACACCCAGCAATTTAGCCACAGTACCTCATTGTGCAACTTGCCTCTTTGAGGTCAGCCAGATGACTGAGGCTCAGGGCAGATTTCCTTCTGTGTAACTGTGCCGCCCTCCCTGGGGCTCATCCTGCACAGACTAGCCACTTGGCGGTTTTGCCCTCTGAACCGTGTCTTCAGGGGTGAGGGATGTGCGCCTGGGAGCCCCTACCACTGCTCACAGGGAGGTCAGTGGATGAACCTCCCTGACCAGCTACTAAACTGCAGATTCATCTAGAAAATGCTATGACTTAGCTTAGAGATTCAAAGAACAAAGACCATCTCAAGGATGATTAAAAAAAAAATAGAACACTCCCCCCAGCTGTGAGATTCTCCCAGTAAGGCTTCTCCTTCCCTTTCAGCTACTGGCACAGCACATTCACACTCAGGGAAGGCGTGAGAATGAACAATATACCTTTGTGCATAAGGATGGGGGCCTCTGAACTCGAACTTAAACTCCGCCCATTGTTATCACGGGAGGCAGTTAAGCTTTTAAGCCATCTGGGCAGGAAAGAAGGCAAACAGCTTTTATTGTGTTAGGTGCCTTAAACTCTGCCTCTTTTAATCCCCCCGGCAATCTTGTGAAAGAGGTTTTAATCATCTCCGCTTTTTAAATAGGAGCACTCTGAGGCCTAGAGATGTTAATGAACTTGCTCTAGGTCACACACCTGTCGGACCAGAGCTGGGATGCAAACTCTGGAAGGTCTGACTTCAAACCCCATGTTCTTCCTACTCTGCAGGCCTCCCTCAAGGCCTCCCCTACTCCTAATAAGCCACAATACTGATCCTACCCCAAAAGATGTCTCTAGGTCCCTTTGGTCTGTGACACAACTGAAACCAGCAAGAATAAACCCAGAATCAAACTACTTTTAGTGAAATTGGCAAACACCTTTCAGCCCTGTTTGTAATATACATGAAAGGGCTGCTCCTACAAATGAGACTCGGGCAGTGAAAGGAGGTACATGGAACTGGAGACATACAGCCAAGGGGACAGAGCTCACTTCTCCAATTTTGGGGGCACGCACCAGGTGTCAGGCAGTACCGTTTCTCTCACAACCATGTCACAGGAGTGCACGGGCTGCCTAGCAGCCTCCTCGAACACCGCCATGCACTCAGCGTTTCAGTACGTTCTGATAGTCAATCGACGCCTAGACTGCTTTCCTCCCCACTGTCCCCAGACCAGCTCATTAGAGATGCAGTCTCAGGCCCCATCCCAGATCTCTGGAGTCAGAATCTGCATTATAGGATGCACAGGTGATTCACATCACACAGTTCCTGACACTTATAAGGGGTAAGTAAGTCAGAAAACTTCTCTACAGCAGAATTCAAGGAGAGCAGTGTCCCCAAAATCCTCCAGGGAAAAGACTGTGACCTGGGAGGTTTGCACCCACTCATACTGTCACTCAAGTGTAAAATCACAGGATGGATGTGTTCAGACTTGCACAGTCCCGTGAGCTCATATGGAAGAGTACAGAAGACAAACTTAGCCAGCTAAAATATCGATGGAAAAGTTCAGTTAGATGGTGGTGAACACGGGACATTTTTAAAAACTCACGCATTTCACAGTGTGTGTAAATTTTATATCGGAAAAGGGACACTGTGAGCAAATATTGAGCTCCAGTTAATGAGATGCATGCTGACATAAGGGGGAAGTATACAGATGTCTCCATCTCACTTTGAAATGTGAAGTAAATGTCACACACACATATGATAGATTAGTGGGTCGCTAAATGTGATAAGTATAGTAAGAAGTTAGGGGTTTCAGATCTAGGCTGTGGGTGTACAACTGTTCCTTGTCATTTTCTTTTAGCTTTGCTGTATAAATACCAGAAAAATATAACTAAGCCTCCCTTTGTGGGAGAATTACAGTTACAAAATGGAACGCAAGTATTACACACCATGTTGATGTAGAAATGATAATACCATTTTCCCAGATTAGGGGAGGTAAAGGGAGAGAAGCTGTCGGGTTATGTAAGCACACCAATTTCCTCATGAGAACCAGTGGAAAGTGAGAGATTTAAAAGATATGAATTCAAAGGCAATAAATTAAGAGAAATAAGAATAACCATTGAACAAGCCAGAACCCGAGTGGTGGAAGGCACAGAGGAAATAGGCAAATGCCCTAATCTGGGCATTGTATCTACTGATTCTCCGGGACAAGCAATGCAAATGAAAAGCTTTCTAAGTACAAATCTCCAGTTATAAAATAAGTAAGCCTCAGGGATGTAACATAACAGGGTAAGGACTATGGTCAACAATACTGTAATGACTTTGTATGGGGACAGATGGTAACTTACTGCAGTGATCATTTCATAATGTACCCAAATGCCAAATCACTAGGTAGTACACCTGAAGCTAACATGATATTGTACATCAACTGTGGTTCAATTAGAGAAAAGCCTTCATGTGTATCTAGGGCCATAGAGTGAATGCTTACAGTATAGTGTGAAGTGGAAACTGTACGGTTCAGAATTGCTGGTCAGGGTACTGTCCTTTGTGATTTTTAAGGGAAACAGACATATGCACACACTATCTTGGAAAAATACTATCAACAGTGGTTCCTTCTGGAATAAGAGGTTATGAGTGGGTGGGAGCAAGACTTTCATTTCTACTGTGTATTTAGTTATACAACTTAGTCAAAACAAGCATACAAACCAACCTTTGAGATGTGTTGCCTTAAACGTTACTTAATAGGGAGGGAGGGAATTCAGGCCCACCTCAACCCTCTGCTAAATAAAAAGAAACATTCAAATGACCATCAGGCACAGGTCCTAACTGTAAATAGGGGATGGCTTTTAGAGAAAGATGATCAATACTGCTATGAACTGCCAAGGGACAGAAGACTTCCTGCCACTGGAAATCTTTAAAAGACAAAACACACCCGCCTGTTCTAAGCTTTGTAAAGGGCTCAGTGGAGGAAATGGATGTGGGCATTCATTACTCCTTTGAGTCTTTTGGCCTCAGAAGTATTTAAGGAATTGAAGCACAGCTGTAGTCACTCTAAATTCCATGTGCAATGATCTGTAGGTTTTAATTTCTTCTGAGTCAATCATTTTCATTTCTAGATGGCAGATATTTTTACCTTCATTTCTCTGTATGGACCCATCAGTCAAGGCTGTGTTCTGCAGCCTCTCTCCCTGACCATCGGGGTGAGACCTCTGGCTCTCACAAAGTCAGCCCCCACCATGAGCCACTGACCTCTCTGCTTCTTGAACTGGGCATGTGATCCCTGGGTATTCCAAGAAAGCAAAGGTCTGACATTAATGCTTGCTTTTGTGTTGTTTTTCCAATCTGTAGGATTTAGATCTGTTCCTCTGAAGAACGGGTACAGTGAAGACATTGAGCTGGCTTCCCTCCTGGTTTTCTGTGAGATGCGGCCAGTCCTGGTGAGTGGAGCAACACCAGTGGGGGTTCCCTGAGCTATGTCTGCTGGTGAGATGGAAATGGCCAATGAGTACAGTTGGCTGATGGACTTGAACAGATTGAATTATCTAGCCAAATGTGCCACATCCTAAAAGGATTCCTTTCAGCTACAGATGTCCTCAGGGGTCTTAGGTTTCCCTCTCAGCACCCTTTCTTCTTAGAGGATGCTGTATGATTTGGTCAGGAGGTTGTAGAGCTGGAAAGGGTGAAGCTCTTTGGAAGTTCCTTAGTTTCATTTCTCTAAGAGCCAGACACGGTGATGCACTTCTAGGTAAACGCATCCTTCCTGCATGCTTTTCCTCATCTGCTGTCTTCAGTAATCCCTGCAAAAGGTCTGCAAGCATCCAGCAAAGCCTTGTCATGGCCTGTTCTGGGGAAGGAAATTCATGGACCTCACCTTCCCCTAGCAAGCAGCACTCCTTTTGCGGTTCTCTCTGCTACTGGAGGAGCCCGCCTTCTTGGTCCCTTTGGTTTACCAAGGCCTTGAAGATACCAAGGCCTTTGAGTAACCACTTTGGGTAGGCTTGGTGGAAAGGGCTTGGCCTCCCGGAGCTATGGAAGAGGATGAGCTCGAGTTGCTCAGGACAAAGGTAAGAATGGAGCCCCACTCTGGGGGTAGTTCAGGTCTTGGGTTTGAGAGTTGATACATATTGTGATTCTGGAATTTCAGAATCTTCCCAATGGCCTCTTCTATAGAATAAAACTTACTAGGCATATGTTTTTGCAAGGCCCCATATGTGGCCAGTACAGTCTCCCAAGATCTTTTATCCCCCTACCACAAAACTTGGCATGGGCTGAAACGGTACGCAGTCACCCCAGTTCTCTTGGGGAAACCTAGCAAACCATGGTTCTGGAGCCCGGTGGGCTGACACCAGCTTAGCCAGTGCCCCTGCATATGTACACTGCTTTCTTATCCTGGTGGTTCTGAGTGGAGGAACCACTGCCTGTACAATGGTTCTTTTGGCTGTAAAAACCAAATAGTGATGTGGAAGTTGCTTACTGCAGGCATACCTCGATGTATTATGCTTTGCAGATACCATGCTGTTTAAAACAAATCAAAGGTTTGTGGCAACCTTGTTACCAGCAAGTCTGCTGGCACCATTTTTCCAACAGCATTTGCTCTCTTTGTGTCTCTGTGTTGCGTTTTGGTAATTCCATGTCAAACTGTTTCATTCTTTTATTTCTTATGGCAATCTGTGATCTTAGACGTTACTACTGTGACTTGCTCAGATGATGATTAGTATTTTTTAGCAATAAGTATTCTTATTTAAGGTATTTTTACTTAAAGTATGTACATTTTTAAAGACATAATTAATAGACTACAGTGTAGTATAAGCATGACTCTTATATGCACTGGGAAACCAAAAAATTCTTGTGACCTAATCCGCAGTACCTCCCAAGTGTGCCGGTATAGTTGAGAACCATCCCATGGGGAAGGGAGTTGGCAGGGGTGGGGATGCCTTTGAATAGCCAAAGCCATAATCTATGCAGTAAAAACTCAGAGGAGAAATGTTAGGCTTTCTGCATAGCTGTTTGCCTTAAATTCAGTTTCTGCAACTTTGGTAGTTTCAACTTCAAAGCATTTTAGAAACATCAAGATGGCAGAGGAAGCAAAAATAAAAGGCACAGTAGTTGGGGGGTTAGAGAACCTCAGTGACAGTTTGTTGGTATAAAATAAGCTCATGATGATGAGACTGTCTTGAAAGGTAAGGAGATGGATAATGGAAGGTTTGCCCTTTAAAAACAAATATTAAATGTTAGGGCTTTAGATTCTGTCAAAATAGATGTAATGTTTATATGAAAATTACAGTTTTCACTTGAATCTTAAATTATGAATCAAAAAAAAAATCACCTTTCATGATGCTCAGTGAGAGAAATGCTTTGTCATGACAGTTTATATAAATTCTTCCCTTTCCCAGGGTGACTGACTTAGTCACTCTAGTAGTCCTTGCTGAGGATGCCCAAGCCTTAAATTTGTCTTCTTTTAGAATGAATTATGCATGTCAGTTTATCACTAATAAAAATGAAAGTGGCCTAATTGTCCTCGGCTGAGAACCACTGCTTCAAAGTGAGATTACAAGCACTTTTCGTACTATTTCCTGATCTTCAGTAGCATCTAAATGACTGAGTGTCATTCCACCAAGCTGGGCATTTACAGGGAAATCCAGTTACAGAGAAGGCTCTCCCAAACGTCTTCATGTAGTTACCCTTTCCCTCCTCTCATACACCATTCCTTCCTTAGGATCAATTCCCATATATGGAATTACTGAGATCAGTTTATTTAGCAAGATGGAAAAGTTTTAAAGCCTGGAATAAGTAAGCATGAAGACCCTTGGCTTATTCAGGCTTACCCCTCCCCACCCCACAAAAGGATCTGGAGCCATCTCTGTGTCTTCTTTGTACTTAATGTACAAAGCCCACCTGCAGACATTTTCATGGAAAAATATAGTGATAAAGTGGTTTCAGATTTTAGGAGGACTGCATTTGTCCAGACACTGCTCTGCAATGCTGTCATAAACAACCTGGAAGCATAGTAAAGATTTTAAGTGATTAGGTATCACTGGCAGCAGAGAAAAGTAGTATATTTAAAAGGAAATATGTTTATCCAAATCCCATATCTAGGTATATATCCAGAAGGAACTCTAATTCAAAAAGATACATGCACCCCCAATGTTCATAGCAGGACTATTTACAATAGCCAAGACATGAAAGCAACCTAAATGTCTATCGACAGATGACTGGATGAAATAGTTGTGGTATATTTTACAATGGAATACTACTCAGCCATAAAAAAGAACCAAATAATGCCATTTGCAGCAACATGGATGGACTTGTCATTCTAAGTGAAGTAACCCAGAAAGAGAAAGAAGAATACCATATATCACTCTTATGTGGAATCTAAAAAAAAAAAAACGAGGGCAGGGAGAAGGACACTAGGAACTCATCTACAAAACAGAAACAGACTCTTAGACTTAGTAAACAATCTTATGGTTACTGGGGAAAGGGGATGGGAAGGGATAAATTTGGCAGTTTGAGACTTGCAAATATTAGCCACTATATAAAAAATAGATTAAAAAAATAGAAGAAAATGTTTATCCAGCTTCCTTGATGAGGGAAGCTTCACCTCATGCTGTAGGGGAAGCCAGGTACAGGGGGCATTGTGTGGGGTTCCCAGAGGAAAAGTTGTCTGAGGGTATGCAGATTTCATCTCAGCTGCTGGTCCCTGAGCTTTTATTTAATTCCACTTCTGTCACCAGGTTCTAAGCCACTCACAGGCACCATTAGACATTCTGCCCCACGTTGCATTGAGGGTTGTGTTTGGGAGACCTGGGCTTTGTTGGTGCCCAAGGTCAAACCGTGTTTTATTTATCACCATATCCTCTGTGTTGCCAGGAAGATGCTCTGTCAAGCAGCTTCCAGAAAGCCTTGTCTGAGTAAATGATTGATCCAGTGAGAACTGAAATGGAGTTTACTCGTAAAACATTTGCTGAGATAGAGATGAAAGTCCCAGAAAAACTGTCAGCAAGCACTTTGAGCCCCTTCTGAAGAAGCCATTTAAATGTCACAATTACTTACCAATTCTGTTACTCTGTTAACTATATATTTGGTTCACAAAGTGTATTTTTAAACACCATTTTATTACCTACTATATTTAATTTGAGAAGTAGGAAAAGAAAGGAATGGGGGGGAGGTTGAAAAAAATCCTGCAAACCACCTGTACATAAGTACTGTCAGCATTTTGCTATCTTTCCTTTGCCTGATAATTTTTTGCATATGATATTTCCATAGTTGGGTTCATATAATGTTTATGAATATGTGCCCTTTATCTGCTTCATAGATGACGTTAAGCATTTTTCCATGTTACCATGATTTTCAAAGCCATGAATGCCTATTTCATCAGGTGGAAGAGGTCCCTAATTCATCTGGCCATTCTCCCACTGATGGACAGTTAGGTTGTTTGTAGTTTTTTACTTTATGAATAATGACGGTCTTCATATAACATTGATTAAGAATTATTTCCTGAGGCTAGCTATTTAGTAATGGAATACTAGATCAAAGAGGGAAAAGAAGAAGACTATGTATTTTTGGATACATGTCAGATTATTCTCTGGAACTAGTTTCTTTTCAGTTAATGTATTCTATTCAATCCTGCTATTAACTGAAAAAGGCCTCCTTCTACTCAAATGATCTGAACTTGTGAGACTCAGAAGAAGGGGACAGGAGAAGCATGGAAACTTGCATGTTCATCCTCATCATCATCCGTGGCCAAGCTGGCAGTATCTGGAGGGTGTGTTTGAGAAAACCAGCTGTCCCAGGATTCTGGGTACTGATCCTGGGGTGGACAGTGCTTAGCTTCGTGCTGGGTGGGAGTGGAGGTACAAGTGGTAGAGTGGCCTAGTTGGAAAGACCAGGATGCTGTGGTTCCCGGCGAGGCTCAGCCGGAGCAGATATGTGGACTCGCACATGTCCCTTTGGAGAAGTGCTACAGCGCACACTCTAAAGTCCTGGAGGATCAGTAGAGGGGTGCTGACCTCTGGAGCTGAGCTGGTCCTGATTTTTGAGGTTGGGGAAGATTTCTTTACAGCTGGGAGACGTGGAGGCACAGAGAAAGGTGCCCCTTGTGCCTCAACAGCTAGAGTTTGCCCAGTGCTGGTCCCAAAGAGCACAAACTGCTGTGCCTACAACCGTGACCCAGTGACTTGATGTGCCTACTGAACGTGCAAAACCATGAGCATGCAATGGAAAATCAGGCACAAGAGGAAGCAAGACCCAGGGGATACCTGGTACAGGTGGCTGGCAGTTAAGTAGATCTGCTGGGAGCATCTGATGAGAACCCTAACACATTAGTCCTCTATTTGGATATCCTTGAAAGTTCTAAAACAAAAACCAAAAAACTTCTGGAATTTGAAACTTTAAAAACGATCTCTTGAATTTAAAAATTCACTATATAAATAGAGAGATC